GTTTTTTCATCAACTTCAATTAGCTTGTGGTAGCAAGGAATCACATAGACATTGGCAAAGTTTTACAACATTCAATAATGTGACTAATTTTATTTTGGGATCTTGCAAACAAGCTGAAATGGTTCGGGATATAGCCAAACTAGGAAGATTGTAGAGGCTATATGCTAATGAACGAGAGGTTGGACATGTATTGAATAAGGAAATGAGTCACAATAGGACAAGAGATACTTGTTGGGGTACTTACTATGGGACACTTCTCAATTTTGAGAACCTGTTATCTATATTATTGATCTGTTGGAGGGAATAATAAATAATCCAACTACATATTCAAAATCTGCCAGTGATGTATGGTGGATGTTCACTACACTTCAAGATTTTATGTTTGTCTTTATGTTGAAGTTGATGATTAAAGTGTTAGCAATTACAAATGAGTTGTCACTAGCATTGCAAAGGAAAGATAAAGACATTGTAAATTCTATCAAACTTGTTGGTGTGGGAAATACTAGATTACAAGAGATGAGAAGTCGATGAAGGAGTTTCTATTTTAGGATAATATGACATTTTGCGATAAGGAATCTATTCATGTTCTTAGTATGGACGACGAGAGACAAGCAAGGAAATTGTCAATCCTACTTACGGATTTTCTATCATATCTATCGAGAGTCTTTCGAGAGTAAGAGTGGCAACTAGGTTTTCATTAAAAGACCTAATCCCGATCATAGCGATTCTACGTCTTTGAGAGATCAAAGAGAGTTTCTAAAGAATGAAATCGTTCTTCTTTGGGTCTCGAGCATCGCTAAATTGCCTCATGCACTTAGATTCAAAAGGGAATGCCCTTTTCTACCTATTCTTGAGGGTGTGGGTATCGTGAGCGCCAAGCAATATGGCTGTTGAGAAACACTTGTACCTATAGAGAAAGAAATCGAACTACATTTAAAATAGTTCACAATTGCAAATAATGATGAGAAGCCAATAATAACAGAAGAGGCTGATAAGACGGCCAGGATCGATGAAGCTGTACAGAAGCTAGGGTTAGTAGGAAGACTTGTATCCCTACGAAACTATATAATCAAATCAATGAAGATTTTTGCTAACAAAGACTTGGAGCTTGAAGCAAAAGAGTGATGTTACAGATCGAAGGAAATGCAATAGACTTTGAAGCTAAATATGAAAGAATGCTAAATTTATGTTTTTTTTTTTGACATCTAAACCCATCAAAAGAAGACAAATATGGTCATTGGATCAAAGCTAGCCACTACCACAGGGTCCTCGAATGAACAGGAAGAAAGAGACAAAGAATCCAACTGTGAAAAACATTATGCAAAGAAATTGGGGACACTTCAGGCAATAACAAGATGATCTCAGCTGCAATTACTAAGCAAATAGCTCCTTTTGTTATGCCTGAAGGAAACTTAACAGACACGGAGAAACTAATCAGAATGTCAAAGGAACATAATCAAGGCAAGATAAGGTTTAAAGAGGCCTATAAACGAGAAGAATCTGCTGATAAAATATGGAATGACAGACAAGCAATAAAAATAGGAAAAATCCCTAATAGAGATACCCTACAACTGGCTATGAAGGCAGAAAACAACATATCAACCTCGAGCACCAAAAATACTTTTTCTGAAGATGGTACCTTATAAAGTTTAGTTTGGGAATATGGGGAGTGGAGAAGCCAAATAAAAAATCCAATGTCTAAACTAGAAAACAACAACAAAAGGAGAGAGGTCTGGATATTTCCAAAGCTCTAACTAGTATAGCAAAACGAGAAGCAAGTGACATGGAAATTGATGCAAAGGAAGGAGGACATAAAGGAAACGTTTCCTTAGTAAATAAGAAACAAAGATTTGAGAAAATGGTTGGCGAAGAGGTAGACCTTGCAGATACACAGGACTGCTCAGCCCAATGAGGATTTTAAGCTATAATTGTCGGGGGTTGGGGAATCCCTTTGCAATCAGGAAGGTGAGGCAACTGTTCCAATGAGAAAATCCCAAAATAATCTTCTGTTGGAGACTAAGAAGATAGAGCACGAATGGGAAGAGGTGATGCAGGGGTTAGGTTGGGAAAAAGGAAAATGAGTGGGATGGGATGGGATGGGAGAAAGGAAGGACTATTGATGTTGTGGAGGAAAGACTTGAAGGTAACAGTAAAGTCTAAATACATGAATCATATTAATGCATGCATAGAAGATAGAGGATATCAGTGGAGATATACATGCATATATGGATGACCAAAACAAGGAAATAAGGAAAAACTTGCATTTTGATGCGACAACTCAAAGACATGACTGATATACCATGGCTGATGAGTGGTCACTTCAACCTGATTCAAGGCTGCGAGGAGAAGAATAGACTTAACATGCCACTCATAAAGGAGATGGAAAGCTTCCACGACGCCTTGGAGTACTGTAACTTTGAAGATCTCAGATACTATAGCAAGCCCTTTACCTGGGACGATAACCACACAAATTATACTTTTCTGGAAGAAAGATTTGATAAAATGGTGGCAACACTAGAATGTCAAAGCTACTACCTGCATGCCAGGGTCCATCATCCCAAAAGTTGTGGATCTGATCATTCCCCAATTTTGTTAAAACAAAGTTAGTTGAAGAGGAAGTAAGGTGGGGTTGTCATTTTTTATTTGAGCCATATTGTCATCAACATGAGGAGTGCAGGCAGGTTATTGCAGAAAGGTGGAATTCAAACAGAGATGCCTCTGTCTTAGAAAAATTGTCATATTGCGAAGGGAACTTGAGTAACTGGAGTACGCCGACATTTAGGGAAACTCAAAGCTGAGAGAGTATTGAAAAAACTAGAGAAGAAGGGAACAAATACAACAGTAGTCCTCCTAATCAAAGGTATTGAAAAAGAACTTAATGAAATCCTAATGCAGGAAAAATTGAGATGAAAGTAAAGATCTCGAGTGGATTAGCTAAAAGATGGTGATAAGAACACCAATTTTTTTGACCGTTAAGCATTTGATAGAAGAAACAGAAACACTATCAGGAAACTGATTGATGAAAATGGGAGAAGCAGGGAAGGCCAGCAGCAGGTCTCAGAGTGTTTAACTAACTATTATAAGCTTCTTTTTTTGCAGTTAACTCAGTATCTTCTAATAAAATCATTGATGCCACCCTACGATGAGTGACACAAGACATGGATGAGGAGATGCTCAAACCATTCACACAGGAGGAGATCTGAATGCCCTAAAGAAATGAGACCTCATAAAGTTCCAGGAGCATATGGGATGCCTGCTGAGAGATTGTTGGACCTGATGTGTCTAAAGAGCTTTAAAACTATCTCAATTCAAGCTCTTTCCCACATGATATCAATCACATGCTACTGGCTCTAATACCAAAGAAGGAGGTTGCATCCCCTATAGATCCCCCCCATCAGCCTTTGTAAGGTATTATACAAAAACCTATCTAAAGTTTTGGCCAACCGATTGAAAGGGATTTTGAATAAGGTTATCATTGAATTTCAAAGTGCATTCGTACGGGGTCGACTGATTACAGACAATGTGAGGATAGCATTCGTGTGTTTCAACTCAATTAAATGTAGAAACCAAGGCAGGAAGGGATTTATGTCATCTGAACTTGATATCTTTAAAGCTTATGGCAGGGTTTAGTGGGGATTTCTGGAAGCTTATGATAGGGATTCATGCCAGCTAGTCAATGGGCACCGAATAGAAACCTTTTTTTCTCCCTCTCGAGGACTTAGGCAAGGTGATCCCATATCACCCTACCTATTGCTTTTTGTAGCAGAAGGGTTGTCAGCTTTGCTATCACAGGCTGAAAGGGAGAATAAAATTGAAGGTATCCAAATTAAAGAGGTGCCCCTCTCATAACTCACCTTATTTTTATAGATGATAGTGTGTTTTTTTGCAAAAGCCACTAAGCAAGAATGTGAACAACGATGTAATATCCTAAATTTCTATGGGGAAGAATTGTGGCAGAAGATGAATTTGATCAAATTGGAAATCTCCTTTAGCCCTAAAAACCTTGGTCTGCCTACGATTGTGGGAAGGCAAAAGAAATCTATCTTATGTTACCTAGTTGACAGAGTCCGAAAAAGGTGAAACTATGGAAGAGTTTAACTATTTGTCGTATGGGATAAAGGAAGTGATGATAAAGGCAGTAATTCAAGCACAAATGACATACGTTATGCAAATATTCCTAATGCCACAAATAGTAATCAATGAAATCCAGTCTGTTATCCAGTTTTAGGTGGGGCAGCAGAAACAGGAGTACATAACACATTGGATTAGTTGGAAAGAGCTATGCCACTTGAAGAAGAAAGGGAGCCCGAGATTTAGAAACTTGTATGAATTCAACCTTGCTCTTTTTGGCAAGAAATTCTGGAACATAATTCAAAAATCCTAACACTCTGGTGGCAAGAATGTTCAAAGCGAAATACTACCCTAACAGAGACTTGCTTGAAGCTAAGTTAGGTTACAACCCAAGCTATGTTTGGCGAAGTGTTCTAGCAGCCAAATGTATTTTACAGGAGGGCCTAAGATGGATAATAGGCGATTGGAATATGGTGGATATTTGGATCGATAAATGGGTGCCAACCTCCTCAAAACACAGGGTTATCTCTCCCGTTCCTCAGTTTGCTCAGACGACTTTAGTAAGCGAGCTGCTTGATGAAGATACAAGGACTTAGAAGACATCTATCCTACAAGCCTATTTCCAACCCCAGGATAGGCATCAAATCTTGAGTATACATCTACCTAGAGGATCGACGAATTTGGTGGAGAGTGGAGACACTGCATGCAGATTGTTCAGCAGGCGGAGAAGGAAGAAAGGGTAATAACAGAGCATGCAACGAACTTGCAAAGCAGACAAGGGAAGTGGGCTCCATTTCCCTTAAGTTCTCGGGCCGAACCAACAATCAAACGGCCCACATCATGGTCCATAACCTTAGAAGATGGACGAGACTGAATTTTGGCCATCTAGACCACCTATTTTTCTAGTTTCTCAACTTTTATCAGATTCCTGTACTAGTTTTTCATAAATGAAAAAAGGACTGTCAACCCTACTTCACTGTCTGCAAGAAGGAACTTCATACCATAATACGAGAGCATGGAAAGGAGTGGCAAACCTCTGCTTTGAGGAATGAATAATCATCAATCGACATTTTTATTGATGGCTTAAAACTAACACTCTGGACGCAGCTGGCCGCCACAACCAGTACCATAAAAAGCATAACATCCCAATTTCAGGTGAACCAAGGATTTATGGAAACCAACCATGACACACTGTTCTGGTAAGCCGTTAACACCACTACGAAATTGTGCCACGAGTTCATATATCTTTGCCAAGTACTCAGTGGCAGACATAAAAGTACAAAAAAATTTGGTTAGCCTCAAAGGCAGAACAAAGAGCAGCAGACCGATGATACTCGGTGACCTTAAACGCTTTTGCATTATTGGAAGCTGACATGTACCAGAACTTAGCAAGCATCAAGATCCCGGCATGGAGGAGGTTTAGGGTCTGTGAGCAGAGTAGTATTGCCTCCTTCTGGTCCACTCATGATACGTTTTGGGTTTTGCGTTCCAGGCTAACAATGAAGAGGAATTTGGTAGTTAAATTCAGAGTAATATCATAGTCGATGAAAGCAATCAAACAGCAGAAAGACTATAAGGCCTTACTGGCAATTTTTCCCCCTTTCTCAGCAACTCAACAATCTCCACAACTCGTTTTGGAGTGACATCTTCCTGCAATTGAAGCAATTAAACCATCCAAAACAAGTCAAGACTAGCCAACTTTTTTTGCTGTAATGTCCTAAGCAAGAGAAAGATGTTTCATGCACTCACATAATAATTATACGAGTATCCTTCTGATCCATTAGAGTAATCTGCAACGGTAATCATTGGTGCATTTACACAGCTTCCCTGCACAGACAATGAATCTTTGTATAAAGACCATGCCGTGCTCAATCACAGTATTCAAACAAACAGCAAAAGTAAGAGCTATCCTCTTCCTAATAATGGAGAAGCACACACAAGACATTTTCAGAGAGAGTCAAAGAGAGCAAGATTTAACTTCGATCCACTATACGAATGAAGACTTACCATACATTCCATTTCACCAACAGAGAAGAGACCATCTTTTGTTACTTCTGCACATGAAGAAAATGCACAGCACACTTATTCACTAAATTAAACTATACCACAATTTGAAGAAGAAAAAAGTAGATGTAATCACTGGAAAGGTGCAAGGGTAACTGATCTCTACACATGTCAACTTCACACGGACGAGCAGAAACTTATAAAATTGGAACATACCATTGCGTTTCACTCCTAAGTGTTTCAGTAGCGCATCTTCAATATCTCGAGACCCACGTATCATGCATGGGGTTGTTCCACAAACTAAAAGGTGGTACTTGCCAACCTATAGAAGACGAGAGTTATTCATTACTACTAATATTGCATCGCACTAACTGAAGACCGCAGAATAAAAACTCACTGGGGTGGGGTCGTGAGGGAAAGATTGGAGAATATTACTTACAGGTGTTCGGTTGAACATGGAATAAAATGTTGCAACTTCATAGACGCGAATGGGAGCAACACCGATAACTTTAGCTACCTGAAGTGTCCACAAGAAAGCTTATACTGAGAGAGTTTCTCTCAAAAAATCATACAGTTTGAACAAGATTAAAGTCTTCGGAATTTAAAACAGCTAAGACAGATCAAGTAACTTGAAATGGTCAAGCATATACAGCTGGAAAAAGGCACCACAAAATTGGCCTGCTCCACTGGAACACAAAACATCCAACCTAGTCAGCCCCACACGCTACATGCAAGCATTAGCATCTTTTTTCCATAACGGAGTGATTCCACTGAAAGTTCATACGACATCTTAGAAATCGAAGTTTTATACATGTTGCAGTTGATGGGCAATTGAAACTTGAAATCCATGATTCCAACTGATCTTCTTTCTTATCCTTTTGCAATTGTAGCAAGGACAATGAGTATGCACAAGTATAGAGGAAAAACCTTCTGAGGAAGTCATGGTTGATGATTGTTTCCAAGGAAAAGGGAGGCGACTAGTGGCTCAAATATTAAATCCTAGTCAGTTCAGCAGAAGTTGGCCAAGGGAAAAGGTGTGCTCCAAGACTTTGGTTTGGAGAATATATAATTTTCTTACAAACTCTCTACCGGGACATTCACATGATAATCACTAGCCAAACCCCCAAACTGCAGTACCCTGATACATGCACATAGTCAATTCGTCCCTTTTTTTATGGTATAAGGTCAACAAAACAATTTGACCTTTCAATCAGCACAACCGTTTAGAGAGTATTCTGCAACTATAATTATATTAATGAGGAGCTTATATTTTTGTCAAAAGCAATAGAAAGCTAATGTACTTCATAGCTGTTCTCATGCAAATAAATTTCACTTCCATATGGCACCTAATCCCTGAAATCAATTCCAACATATTTATGCATTCACCCTTACCGCATTCATTGCCGAAACTGGAAGCCATCCTCCATGCTGCTGTTGCGCCAGATCTAGCAGGGGAATTACTGCAGATTGCTTGTAGTTAGATGGGTAGTGAGATATTATCTCTTTAACCTGACAGCAGAGTACCAAACATTAAAAACGAAGATCAGACATCAGTGCGTAAATAAGGAAATTAGTTCTACCAACAAGTTGGATATTACTGCACTCATTTTAAGGTAGGAGACCATTTTAAAAGCAAGGTAAAAGAACTCCTTAGAGGATTTAAATCGGTTTTAGTTGTGGTTACATTAGTCCTTCCACATACTAGACGCTCACAGAAACAATAGCCTAGTTAGACAGGCTTGCTAAGGAAACAATATTTGTTGGACCATATCACACTTTTACTTCAAAGCCATGCAGTCTAGAGTAAATTTAAGATAAACGCCATTAGATAGTTGAAAACTGATCTGGAGTCATTCTTGCAAGCATATATTTCATCGACAATATATCCTCAATCACACCAAAAAGTGAATAAGAATCTTTTATTGCACAAAAGCACTCCAACAAGCAAGTCAATTTTTTTTCTCAACCAATACACAGAGGCATAAACGACTCAAAGCAAAAAAAGGCCCTACAAAGATTATGAAAAAAAATGCAACAAGGATCCTGCATTGATTCACAATTTGTCAAAGACGATAAGTCTTAGAGGAATTGAGTCACTTGGTAATCCATTCACATGAAACAAGAAGCTTTGCTAATCCCGTAAAAGCAGCAACTTATATAAGAAAGATAGCATGATAATGAGATTGTATCGTCAAAGCATGAGAGGGAGCAAAGATGATACTGGATTTTCTAGCAATCTGCGCAATCCCGACCCAAAAGGCAAAATCATATGGTCATGTTTTCCTCTATGATATGAACAAAATCCAACATTGAAGAAGGTAAAGAAACCATTCTATTTTTTCCCATGATTCAGCCCTTCACTAGATATGGCTCAGAAGTTCGTCCAATAGCACACCAACCAAAACCATTGGGAGCTACATTCGCATATAGTTTCAAAACGTTGAGAAAGGTGCACTCTGCTGTGTTCAAATTAGTATAAAATTACTAATTTCTAGTTGAACATGCGAGAAATGAAGGACAGAAGCGTGCCACTGGAATTTAACGCTATTCAATTCTCCATTCGATCAGCCTAATCCACAGAACCCAGAGAAATGCTCTGTAGATTGCCATAACTTTCAGTCATTACCTTCTCTTGGTTTTTGGAATTGAACTCCCATGGCATGTCCGGATTGTTATCCGGTGAATCGATGTGCTGCAAAGAGATAAACCATTTCTCACACACACAAAAACCAAAAAAAAAAAAAAAAACATCGAAAAAAACGGAAACCGACAGGGAAAAAGATCAAGGAATTCGCAGATGCCAATGACTCACATAGTTGAGAGCAGTTGAGAACGACCGGGAAGCCTGCGGCGAACGATAGAATCAAATTAAGATAAGTGAAATGAGATTCGGCGGCAGTCTTCGATCGGGCGACTGAAGAAAGAAATAAAAGGAGTGGAAGAAGGTGACCTGAGCAGCTCCCCGGAAAGCTTGACGGATCTCCAGGAGGCGCGTGGCTGCCAGACGACCTAGCATTTTCCCCAAATGGTGACGACAGACGACGGACGTGTGGGGATGGACGGCGACGGAGCTATAAAACTGAGTTTCGGGGACGCTGAGTTGAGTTGGGCGGACGGAGACAGAAATGAATGCCAAAAGGCCAAAACCAAATATGCCGCTAGGAGTTCGGCCTCTTCCTAACATCCACCGGGTGCGCTGTATGCACATGGCAGATAAAAGCAATGGACCTCTTCAGGCCCATTCGAAAATCTTAACGGCCTAGTAATTAAGTTTAAGGCCCGGCCCAATCTATCAAGCGTGTATCTCTGAGCTGAGAATGGCGCAAAGGGCCCATTTCATTTCCGCAAGCGGCGCTCTGAAAATCTAAAATCCTCTCCTCCGAGCTTCCAGGGCTGCGCTTCATTGTCTTTGAACAAGAAGAAGTGAACGGGAGCTTAGCAATGGCGTTGGAGAGGCTGGCGGCGGTGTCGTTCTCGAGTAAAGTATCTTTCTGCATCCCAGTTAACCCTCTGGCCAGCGGGAACTCGACTGGTTCGTCGCTGTTTACTGCTCGGCGGCCGGGCTACAAACCTTTGGGATTCAACCGTAGGTTTAAGTGTTCAGCTGATTACAGAGGCTACGACCAGTACAATCAGGCGGTTGTTGGGTACGAACGTCCGGCCGAGATTCCGTGGAATAAGGAGCTCGCCAACGGGGTGCAGCTCATCGGCGTAGTGGGCGCTCCCGTCGAAATCAAGAACCTAGCTTCCGGGAAGGTCGTTGCGTGGACGAGGCTCGGGTTCAAGAAGTCTGCCGCCGATACCTGCTGGTAAATCTCTGCTTACACTTTCTACGCCCTTAATAATCGGGGGAGTTTAGGGTGTTGAATTAGAAATGGCAATAACTCTGTAGTGATAGTGCATCTCCCAAATTGGTGGTTTCCCCAGGATAAATCTTACATTCTGGGACGAATTGGCGCAAACTGCGTTTCAGCATGTGCAGAAAGGGAATCAGATTTATGTGTCTGGTCGATTGATTTCAGACACCGTTGAGAATGAGGACGGGAAGGTCCAGACATACTACAAGGTTTCGTGATGTCGAAATGTCAATCAATACCACGATACAATGATTTGTTAAGTCTGTTCATTTTTTCCCCCGTAATCCTCGCAGGTAGTTGTCCAGCAGTTTAATTTCATCGAAAGAAATGGATCTTCTTCATCATCACCATCATCACCGTCATACGATGAAGAGTTTAACATGAACGCTTCAGGTACGATGTTTTTTCGTTCATTTAGTTGGTACTACATGTGAGTTACCAGTTTCGAGCTTGTTCCTTCATCTAGACGACCGTCTATGCCATGCCAGCAGGTAGAAAGTTCAACAACAGCAACAACAACAATACTTCAAACATGGGTTTCCATAGAAGAGCAGTGGCAAGCATTTTTTCGCTAGCCCTTACGAGTGGTGGGATAATAGGAAGAACAAGGTACTTTCTATGCTCATTTGATTATCTTCTCATTGTCTGCCTTGTGACATGAAAATTTAACAGTATGGATGAGATGATACACCCTGCTCTTAGCATGTCAGTTGAATTGTACTGTCTCGTATGTACTTGAACGCTCTCACACATCTGTTACAGTATGTAGTAATTTGCGATATGTGTTTTGGGATACAGAGAAACCCGAAGTATCCAGATTTCAAGCACAAAGATACAGGGGAATCATTGTGGGTCGAAGGGAGGTATAATCCATCATGGGTGAAGTCTCAATTGGCAATATTGGACGAGAAGATGGGGTCTGTTCAGGATGAGAATGGCAGGAAGGATCTGAGTCCCCTAGGGAGCGACGAATTCCTGTCATTTTGATGGTTTTGCGTCCACCTTCCATGGCATCTGTGTCACACTCCTTTAACGGTTGAGTTGATTGAAGTTAATTTCAAATGGAAGTTATCTGGCGTTAGTTTGTACATTCTCTACTGTAGTTACTCCATGACCCTTCCATATGGAAGGTTTTTGGAGCTCTGACCTTGTGTGCTTGTCGCATATGAAGCTCGCCATTCATTTGTTCTTCTTTTTTGTGGGGAGTTCCCGAATGGTATAACAAGAATACATAGAGAGTGAGAGAGAGAAGTGGCAATGGGGTTGGGTTGCTGCTGGATTCTTTGCTTTTCAGCAGCAATTGTATCACTTGCACCAGTAGGCAGTAGATCAGTTGCGTAGTATACGAACCGGTCATTTCATGTACTTTACTTCGTCTTCTTATTTCGATCGTTTATTAACGATTGAGCATCTTAGTATCTGTATCCCCTAATTCTTTTAGCCAGAACCTGTAGTTTCTTTGTTCAGTTTTCACAGGGACAATATGTCATATTGTGAAATCATATGGGGGATTGAGGTGCCGAATCATAGATAGGCTCGTTCCAGGCTTTCTGTTTTCTTCACCTACCTCTGGTTCTGAAACGTGAACGTTATGGTGGGTTTTGTTAGTGCTTTACTTCATTTGGTTGGGATACAGACAAACAAGTTAGATGACACCTGCAAACTGCAATTTGCACACGAGTCCCACGTCCCCGCTCTCTGCCCACTGCCAGTCTTGAAGAGCTAACATCCTACCAATAAGCCAATAATGCACTAACCCATTCCTCCCCTGTGCAATTGACGCTGACCCTCAATTATTCCTTCACTTCCCATCATTCCAGTTAGTGGGCACCAGTAGATCCTCTGTTTCTGCACTCTATATATAATCAACCACCTTCCCTCTCCTCTGCACACTAAACCAGTGGGATCAAATACCAGACTCGAGAGAGCTAGAGTGTAGAAACAAGGCAAAAAGCTCCAATGGGTTCCCTGGCTCAAAAATCAGTTCTCGTACTATGCGGCGACTACATGGAAGACTACGAGGTCGCCGTCCCTTTCTATATCCTTGGAGCCTTCGGCGTCCGCGTCGACTGCGTCTCCCCCGGTAAACTCCCCGGCCATCGATGCTTCACCGCCGTCCATGACTTTATGGGCTTCGAGGTAATTAATCAATCACACTATTCACCACCAACCATGAATCACCCACTTCCAAATTCCAATAATCGAAAGGTTGAACCAGTAATCGAATTTTGACTGGATGCAGCTGTACACAGAGCTGCAGGGGCATTTCTTCACCCTGAACGCCAACTACGAGCAAGTGAAGGCCGACTCCTACGACTGCCTCCTGATCCCCGGCGGGAGGTTCACGGAGCTCCTCAGCGCCGACGACAAGGCGGTGGGTCTGGTGAGGAGGTTCGCGGAGGCCGGGAAGCCGGTTGTCACCAGCTGCCACAGTCAGATCATGCTGGCCGCGGCGGGGCTGCTGGAAGGGAAGAAGTGCACTGCCTTCACTAGCTTGAAGCCGGTGATCGAGCTCGCCGGCGGGATCTGGTGGGAGCAGCCTGGGATTCAGTCGGTGCTCGACATCACCGCCTGCCTTACCGACGGCAACATCATTAGCTCAATTGGGTGGCCGGCTCATGGTGAGTACATGAAGGTTGTGCTGGAATCCATCGGGGCCAAAATCGCTGGGCCTACCAAACCCAATTCTGTGCTCGTCGTCTTCGCTGTAAGTTCCAAACTCAATTTTGTTTTAATTGATTATGTCACGACTGTTTCTACGAATTAGGAAATCATAGGATCGACTTCTGGAAAGAACAAGATTAATGAATTTACATAGTTTACTAACACAATGTTTGTTAGCTAGTGTACGAAATAGGAGAAAACAAGTTTCAATATAACTCAAAAAGATATTAGATATATATTATAATAATAGCCAAATAATTCGATTCAAGTTATATTGATTAATAGCTAACTGTCAATTAATTGATTTTTTGTGGCTAAAAACAGGATTATGTAGAAGACTACGAAGCAAACGTGCCTTTCCGGGCGCTGCAAGGGCTGGGTTGCAAAGTGGACGCAGTGAGCCCAACAAAGAAAAGAGGGGAGAGTTGCCCCACCGCAATCCACGACGACGAGGGAGCCCAAATCTGCAGCGAGAAGCGCGGGCACAACTTCGTCGCCACCGCCAACTGGGACGACATCTCCGTCGACGACTACGACTGCCTCGTGCTGCCCGGCGGGCGGGGTCCGGAGCTCCTGGTCTCCAACGACAAGGTGATTGCTCTGGTGAAGGAGTTCTCCGACAAGGGCAAGGTGATCGGCGCCGTCGGACAGGGGAAACTGCTCCTGGCCGCGGCGCGGGTCCTGAAGGGGAAGAGGTGCGCCGTCGACCACGGGACGAAGGTGCTCGTCAAGGTGGCCGGCGGCGAGGTGGCGGAGGCGGAAGGATGCGTGACCCACGGCAAGCTTGTCACGGCGAGCGGGTGGCCGGCGCTCTCTGATTTCGTGTCGCAGTTGTCCAAAGCGCTCGGCTTGTCCGTCTCGTTTTGATGCGTTTTGGATTCAAGTTGATGGGGGGTGTGGGATTGGATCTAATAAAGTAAACGCGATGTGAAATTTGTGTGTGGTGTGCTCGGTCTTGTCATGGCCACTTGGTTGCTATAAGTCTTTGTTTTTATGTGTTAGAGGCGAGTACGTTGTAACATCTTTCAATTCATCCATTTAGTGCACCCTTTTAAACACATAATTCACATATGAGGAAACCCTAAACTATTCAAAACCTTAAGCAAATTAAATAACCCAAATCAATGTTGTGGTATGCCTTTTGTGCTATTTTTCTCTAAGAGTAGAAACTTCCACTCTACAATTTTGAGTCAAGGGAGCCCCCTAATTTAGATAAGTTAATAAATAAATGCAATTCATGCATAAAGTAGAACAACTTATAGCCTCTTAGTAATAAGTTAATAAACATAAATCTTAACAATAAGTCTTCTTCCCCTCTATGCTAATGAATTTGGAAATAACCTAGTTAGTGAATTAAATTACTCTATTGAAGTTGAGAATGCATCCAAGTACCTGATATATATCTTTTAATCTAAAATTACTACTTTGTGAAAAATCATTAGGTATGAATATGTTAAATACATGTGACTCGGTTGGTGAAACAGTATCTCTCTTCAAAAAAGACTTTTTTTTTACCGCCGCACAAAGAATATATCACATTGTTTGTGATTTTCCTTTAATATATACTTTTTATAATTAATTTTGATGAAAAGAGTACTCATTTAGTGAACTAAAAGCGTAAAAGCGTAAAGTGTTTTGGCGAACTATAAGTGTAATCTTTTAAGCTTTAAAGCGCAATTTAGTCCGATTTTATACACTAATTTTTTTATGTGGAAACGGAAGCATTTTGGTGACCTAGAAGCATAAAACCGTTAGTTTTTAAGTTTTAAAATGCGATTTTGACTACATTGCAGGAACCAATATGATATGACGTCCGGTACAGTTTTCTGAACCATTCAATAATGATGTATAACCTGTCATATAACCATTTATAAACTGTCTTTAGTATTTTTCCTATAAATTTTAACGTGTTATTTCTCTTTCGTTTTAAGTCGTAATTTTTTTCATATATAAATCAGATTAATTGTATTTTCCAAAAATGATATCCACTATGATACATTTTGGAACAAAAAAAATTGAGACATTTATTACGAGTCTATACCATGATGGTAATGCTTGGTATAAGATCAATGTTATTAGAACCGACCAGAGTATGAATTGATATAGATAGTGTTTCACTTTTATTGATTTAACCGACATCAAACTGCTAACAACCAATGTGTTATAAACAAGAATAATAGAAATAATACTCAAAATCTTAAACAAGTATACTAAAAATGTTTTTGCTTTCACCACAGGCGCCATTGCAGGGTGGGCAACTGTCATTTTCGGTCGGGACAGGGGAATGGTGCGAGCTATGTTTGGAGCAATGTTTCCAGCCTGAATTGGGTCGAAAGATTGTGAGTATCCCATTGCCGCGGGTACCACTAATGGATCGTCTAGTTTGGAGCGTGGAGCCGGATGGTCTGTATTCGGTTTCTGGGAATCCATGGTGGCTTTACAAGCTAGACGAAGGTCAGTCTAGTTATTCTGCTAATTTGAAGATTCGTTTAGTATATATACTAACTAATATTCAAAATATATGAACTAAAATCTAAGTCTGCTGAGTATCTAGATAGTACAGACTAGTATTCAAAACATCACAAACTAGTATCCAGATAGCAGATACCAACTAATATCCACAATCAACCAACTAGTATTCAATATAGATACTCTTAATTATGTGTTATCTGGATACTAATTATGAGCTATTTGGATACTATTCTGTGTTGTTTAGATATTAGTTTGTGGATTTGGGATAATAGTTGATTCATGATAGATATCAGTTAACAAACTTTAAATACTAGTCTCTGCTCTTTAGATACTTCAGTATTTGGATATTAGTTCATGTATTTTGGATATCAGTTAGTATCTGCTAACGAATCTTCAAGTTAGCAGATTAACTTTCCCCGACGAAGGGAGCCTGGATGGAAAGCTGAAGTGTCGTTTATGGATACGGCTGTGTGGAAGCAAGTGTGGGGTTTAAATATATCTCCCAAACTTAAAAAATATTCCTTTTGCAATTGCTTCGCAGGATACTTCCTACGGCTAAAACTTGCTGGGAGAAAGGGGTACAGTGCCCCTTGCGCTATCTGGTATGTTGGAATTCATTAGAGCATTTGTTTCTTTCCTGTAGGGTGTCAATCGAGCTATGGTAGGGGAGTGGCCTAGGGGCGATACGACAGGGGCTAGAGCATTTGAATATGACGTTATTCTTTCGTCGGGTGCTTGAACGTGATTCTTCGGAGGAGCATGTCATGAGGTTGATCGCGCTTTTATGGCGCATTTGGAAAGGAAGGAATTCGGTTCAGTTTGACCATATATATATAGAATCGGGCTTCCGTCCTACTCCGGCTATATATACCACGAATAGGCATGGGAATGGTTAGCCCTTCCTAGGCAGGTTACTCCTCCTAGGACACTCTCGATTCCGGTTCACGTGAATCAGGGAGGGACGGAGAGAACGGATTCAACTTTGGTATGTTCGGTGTTTGTGCATGAGTTTCTTTATGCAGGTGTGGATGATCCTTACATATGAGATGTGGTATTTCAAGGCAATGCTAAGGCGATCTCATTAATTAGTACGATATTGTCCGTTTTGGGTTAAGCCCACACGATTTTACTTTTGGGTTCATTCCCAAAAGGCCTCGTACTAATGAGTTTGGTGGATACTAATATACAAGGGTTCCTTTACTTGTATTTTCGGTGTGGTACTTGGATTGCCTCATAACACTTTACCACATAAAACACAAATATCAATTGCAAACTTAAAAGACTATGTCTTGGTAGTAAATGTTGAGTACAGACCAAACTATATCACTCCACTTTAGGCTTCACAACTCTTAGGTCTTCACATAACAAATTGACATAATATTAATTTCACCATCTTCTTCTGACTCCAAATAGTTTGATTCCCGCAGTAGGTAATAAAAATTCACACTCTATCTCTGGTTTGTAATAATTTCCTCCAAATCCACGAGGAGCAGCTGCTTAACTCTTACTTTCCAGAGAGACTTGTCCTTTAACCTGAATCTACTAATCCAAGCTCCCACCAGGAACCTCCTCTTGTGAGAATGTTCCAGATGTGCCTAGTAGAACAAGCTAGGTTTCAGGATCTCAAGTAGTGGCGGATCAGAAATTTTATATATAGGTGTGTCCTCTCCAAAAAAATTAAGTTAAATTAATAATTAAATTATAAAATAATAAAATATATGACTTGTCTAAAGTACAAAAAAGCACATGACGTGTTTCATACTTTGGAAAAATTATAAAATACAATCGGTGTCTAACAGTGCTCTATAAATCTCTCTCGATATATCCTACTAGAATAGGGGAGCCCATAATTGGATTTAATCGTTAGCTTTTGAAAATAATTGGGATATAAAATAGCTTTTTACTATTATATTTGGATTTGAAATACAAGAACAAATGAGTTATAGTCTAATGAAAAATATGTTTACTAATAGTAGCATCGACCCAAGTTCAAATCACATAGGCAACCACTTAAATTTTTATATTTACCTATACACAAACTTCTATTGGGGGATATAATCATTTTTCCAAATTTTAGGAGTGTCCCGCTACCACTTGAATATCTTTTTATCTATATGCAAACTACTATCGGAGGTTGAATAATCGTGTTTCCAAATTTTAGGGGCGTCCCGGGACACCCCTAGAGCCCCATGGATCCGCCACTGATCTCAAGCATTTAATACCCAGTCCTCCTTCCCTTCTTGGAACTGCAATTTTTCCCAAACCAATTATAGCCTTTTTTCTTAGTGAGTTTTCATCATCGCCACATAGGAAGTTATGGCACCTAATCTCTACCTCCTAGATTACTGACATTGACAGTAAAAATATATTCATCCAATATTGCATTAATCCACTTATCACAGAGTTTATTAATTGGATCTTGCCAACATAGCTCAACAATCTTGGTTTCCAACCTTTGATCCTCTTAGTCACTTTGTCAACTAATGCCTTACAATACTGAGCAGATAGCTTACCTGCTATAAGGGGAATCCCCAAGTACTTAAGTGGTAGAAAAGCCTTCTGCAATAATTGTTGAAGGAAGCTAAGTCAATGGACACACCAAGCAACATAACTGTGCAGTAGGCTTAATTAGGAAAGGATTCAAGGCCATAACAACTTACCAATTTTGCATTCAAGCCAAAAAAGGAAGGTCTCAAAAGAGACGTTGTAAATCAAGAATATAAGAACAGAACAGGCCGAGCATTACAACATACCTTTTTCGAGCATTCAAAAGCAGAGAGCTAGGTTTCCATCTAAGGTCTTTTGGAGAGAAAAAGAGAGCAATTCGGTGAGATTACTTGTGAGCTAGTCAAGGGTGCTTGGGACGGGGAGTTCATAGAATATAGCTTGATTAGGCTCAGATTAACCAGCAGAAAGCTGAGAGTGTGATTCGGAATTGTAACAGGGAACTTCAAATAATAAAATCATTAGTGGAACGTTGAAGATCTCGAATTGAGATTCTTCAACCGTGGATTAGTCGGCGTAGGGATTCTTATTCTCCCTACATTGGATACCACGTAAAAATTGCTCGTCATTTTTATTTTCTGGTTCTGTTGATTCTTTCTTGAACTAAGTAATTTTTTGTCTAGTGCTTTGTTCTTGTGTTATACCAGGAAGAGTCTGATCGAAAAAAAAGTATTGAAAGAAGATAGAGCTTAAGAAGCGGGCCTAGCAACCATGCTTTCTTTCTTTTTCGTTATATGTTTTTGGGCTTTTCTCCAACAGTTATAAAACAGGCCCATTTTAATCCTATCGTCATATGACTGATATAATCCAAATACAGCAGCTATCATTTCGTCATTCTCCATTTCCTAAAAACTTAATTTCTTCACTTGATCTTCGTAGCTAGGGTTTCAGTTTTTCAGGAATGAAGCGGAAAGATTTGCACAGGTCTCGTGCTCGACTTCCTCTTACATGTGGTATCAGAGTCCAGCTCTGGCAGCAAGAGGATTAACAACCTCAAGAGAAGAGGAGTTCAGGTTCAGCGAGTGGAACTGGGATCTACATGGCTGATGGGTTCTCTCAAACCTGATCGCCGCGGTTTGAAGGAGTTCATTACGGGTACTATAGAAACAGGATGGAACTATTCATCGGATCCACCGATCCTGATTTGTGGAATATTGT